CTCTCCTTTGAAGATCCCAATCAGACATATATAAAACCCCCTGAAAGTGTCATACAGGTCATTGAGGCTTTTTTCATTAGTTTTTCTACTTGTACTTAATTTTGGATAGTTTCTATTCTGTCTTCACAGTCACTAACCATTTCTTCTGCTATGTCTAATCTGCCTTCAGTCCTATTCAGTGTGCTTTTTATATCAACTGTTAGACTTTTCATCTCTCTGTAAGTTCAATCTGAGTATTTTTAGAAAATGTGTTTATGTATCTAGTTAATGTTTTCAACATATAAAATCCAGTTATAATAACTGTTTTAAGTCATTATCTGCCAGTGCTAATATCATATCAGTTTTGGGTTGTTTTTTATTGATTGATTTTTCTTCTCATTATGGGTCATTAGTTCCCTGCTTCTTTGTAAATATGGTAAATTGGTTGGGTACTAGACATTGTGAATTTTATGTTGACAGATATTGGCTATTTCTGTATTCCTGTAAATATTCTTAGACTTTTCGAGGGATGTAGTTAAGTCACTTGGAAACAGTCTGATCATTTTAGGTCTTGTTTTTAAACTTTGTTAGATGATACTAGAGTAGTGTTTGGTATAGGGCTAATTATTTTTTACTACTGAGGCAAGAGTATTCTGAGTACTTTACCCAATGTCCCATGAATTATGAGGTTTTTTCATTGTAGTTAGTGGGAACAATCACTGTTCTCAGTCCTGTGTAGGCAGGCACTCTTAACTCAAATTCATGTTTCTGGTTCTTTCCTAGGTCTTGAGTGATTTCCTTATTTCATGTCCTGATCAGTGTTCTGCTTAATACTCAAGGGGACCCTTGGCATTCTCTCTCTCCCTGTCTCTTCCTCTCTCTCTCTCTCTCTCTCTCTCCCAACTCTTTCTTTTCTGGTGTTCTGCTCTGAACAATCTAGCTGTCTTGGTCTTCTTAGACTTTCAGCCCCATCTCCTCAACTCAGGTTTTCTACCAGGCTTCACCTTGGTTCCCTCTACTTACACTAAGACCCATAAACTCTGTATAGGGCAATCACAGGCCTCACCTTGTTTGATTCCCACCTCTCAGGAACCATTGTTCTTCATGTACTGAACACTGTTGGTTCATATACTTTGTCTAGTTATTTGATTGTTTCAGATGGAAAAATAAATCTGGTGCCTGTTAATCTATTCTTAGTTGAAGCAAATCAAAAGTAAAGACTTTTAATTGATGTATTTTAAGCTATTTAAATTATCAATGA